GAATTTAATATAACATTTCTGATTTGTTTATATTATCAATACATCGGGGAAAACAGAGCTATCTTGCTTCTGCTAAATAAATCTTAACAATGAAATCCTTGTGCTACCACTTTTTTCTTTTTTGAAGAACGGAGCCATATTCTTCACCGATTCACCTTTGCGCCCTTAAAACAATCACAACGACTTCTAACCATAACGAAACTTATCAAACGAATCATAACGAAACTCTTCAATATCATCAGGACATCACAAGTCCATGATATATAACACCAGAGCCGTTTTTATGTTTACAGGGGCCCTGGGCCTGTCATTATTTGGGGGCCCTTTGTGAGTAAATTTAGAGAAAAAAAATTTATTTTGAGCAATTTTTAAAAAATTATTTTATTTTAAAAGTAAAACACATATAAAGTAATTATAAAAGCTTATATACATTATTTTTTATCGAAAATTTAACGTAACTATACTTTTCGCGCTTTTTGAGAGGAAAAGTCTTCTATCACATCATCAAAATCAATTTCCTGTGAGACATCATATTAAATGCTCATTATCATATTAAATGCTCTATCACATCATCAAAATCAATTTCCTGTAAGACATCATATTAAATGCTCATTATTGACAAATGACTCAATCTTTCTTGAGTCATAGCATTTCTTAACTCATTTTTTATTAATTTAAGTCTGGAGAATGAACATTTGCTACTACAATTAGTTATCATAAGAGACAAAAACATTCGAAATGGAAGGATGTTTGGAAATATATCTTTGAGATTGTTTTTCACTGCTTTATGCATGCCATTTATGCCTAATTGTCCTAGCCCAAATAATGCTTGAAACGCTTGAATGTTTTTTTAATTATAAATTTTACATACATGTATATGTTATTTGCAACTTTAAATAATTTTTTACCCATTTTTTCTACATTTTTTTTCTACGTGACATTTTGCTTTGCTGCTCAAAATATATAAAACTAAGAAACATGAAATTATGAAGGTGTGTAGAAAATATGCAAGGAATCAAAAAGAATACAAGAAAATACAATTTGATCATTATTTTTATACTTGTCGTTGAAAAACTGACTCAATTTTGAGTTTAGGACTACCAATGTTTAACTACGTAGCCTTGTAATTTCAAAACCAATCTAGAAGACAAGGGAACTCCTGGAATAGTACCCAGAGGTATTGAATTGTTATGAGAACTTGGTGGAGTTTGTGACCCCGACAGATTTAACATGCATCAGTCACCATTTTATAGGGATATAATTCCAAGGATATAATTCCGCCGACGGAATTCGAATTCCCATTCTCACGAACACAAGTCCATAGCCCTACTAGCCAAGCTATCACGGCCAAATTATTAGTTTATTTTATAACAGTCATTGAACAGCCGACCCAATTTCGAGTTTACGACTTCTAGTGTTCAACATCGTAGCCTTGTAATTTGAACAAAATCCAAGAGACAAGAGAAATCCAGGATCAAGTATTAGAAGAAATTTTTGCCTTCGCAGAGGACGTTTTGGTTTTGATGGAACTAACCAGCATTTAAGTTGCATGGAGAGGTAAACTACGAAAGCCTCTCACGGTTAGTCTGACAGCAAGGGGACTCTAACCCGTCTACCAACGATTATAGTTCACATCAGCAGTATGGAAAGTGTAAGCCGGATGCAGAATTCATATCGATCAGCCACCACTGGGATTCTAACTCAGTGGACCTCATTCGAATGCTCTATCCCTTGAGTCTATCTTCATTGAGTAATAACTCTGCGGGAGGTACCAATTTTATTGATTTGCCTAAATTTAGTCGTCCTCAAAATGTAAATGGCAATTCAATCGTAATTTTTGTAGAAAAAAAAGTGGAAATAAACCGTTTTTCCTCTTAATCTGCTATGATTAATGAGAAGCAAACACGAGGGTTAGTGGGCAAAATGAACAGGGGGCGGAGGCTTCTAGTTTTTTAAATAATTGTTAAATTATTAGTTTTAACATGCTTACTTTAAAAAAAATAAGAAAACATTTTTCAGTATTCAGAAATAATAATTTAAAACTGTCAACTAGAACCCACGATCTCACAGTTTTGTGTCAGATTTCATAATCATTAGCCCCAAATATACACATCTGCATTGCGGATATTTTTTTTATTTTTTTTAAAAATTTAATAATTAAGTCATTTGGATACGTGACATTCTTGATTTTGTTGAAAATTTCCAGATATGTTCTTTATTTTATATTAACAGCCGACTCAATTATATAGGTTCACGACTTCTTTTAGACACGTGTTTTTTTTTTTTTTTTTTTTTTTTTTAAATTTTACGAAAAAGTATTGTGAAAAATAGAATGAAAGTATGAATTTTGAGAAAAAAATTGAGTGTACAAAAGGGTGTTTCTGTAGATATCTGATATTTCCGAAGTTAGGAAAAAAGAGCCCAAAGCAATATAAAGAATCTAAAAACATTTTTCCACAGTGTAAAGTGAGAAGGCTATATTTGACAACTCAGTGGGTGGTAGCTACAAAATTGGGTATACTTTTATCAGTGGAAAAAACTTTTATTGCTCTTTTGGTTAGCAAAGTGGAGAGTAGCAATTATTTTATATTTGTTAACACTTCCATTAGATTTTGAAAAGCGTCCGACAATGTAAAAAAGGTATTATAGGTATATATTATAGGCATCATAAAGGTATTAAGGTAGAGGGCCTCAGCTCAGAATCAAACTTTAAAATTGGAGGAAAAAAGTGGAATCTGGGGATCCTTTTAAGTTATAAATAATAAATGAGTTAGAGTTTTAAAAAAAAAATAATTTAAAAAAACAATGCAATGAGATTTTAGATTTTTCGGGGGGCCCATCAGAACTCGGGGTCCTGGGTCCAGGTCCATTGGAGCCCATCCTTAAAAACGGCTTTGTATAGCACAATATATATAATCTTATATAATTGATATATTCCGATTGATAAAATATTCAGCTTAACGAAATGCAAGGGTAAGAATGAAAGATTAGAGTTACCGGTCTTTAACATTTTGTAAAAGAGACAATTCGTTTTTCCCTAGCATCATTTTAAAGCGACGTTTTTTTTTTTTTTTTTTTTTTTTTGTAAAGAAGAAAAAAAATGGAAGCCGAAATGTTTAATTGTTAATATCTTAGATAGAAGGTAGTTTTATCTACCACAGTATAATAATAATATAAATATATACACTTGGGTTTGAAATCAGAACCGTAAGATGATCTTATAAGAACATTTGGTTGAACCGGGTCACAAATAGAGCGAAATTGAGAGCTATGATAAAAGTCATATGCTCCAATTCGGCGTGAGGAGGAATATTTATGTATGTGAGAATTTACAAGGGTATATTTTAATTATTTATGAGTAGTGATGATCAAATTCATTCAAAAATAACTATGTAAAATAAGATACTTTCAAAATTAAAATAAAATCTCTCGCGAAAATCATGAGATATGGTGGTTAGAGAATTGGATGCGAAAACTTATATACTAAATGCGAAAAAGAAGAGAAATGCAGTCGTCATAGAATGAGAAATGAAAAGTTAACACAGCTTCTTAACATTAATTAGACGAGCAACATGCCAACAGCTGCAGCTGGGAAACAGCTGTGCAATGTCATCTAACATTCTTTGTTATATTCTCCATGCATGTTGCTTATGTGATGCAAAAAACTCTATAACTACCCCCATTTGATTATTTTTTTAAAAGGAAAAAAAAGTACATTTGACTACTTTCAGTGGATAGAAAACACTCCATCTTTTGTAGTTAACTACAACTAGAGCAATTTTTTTTTTTTTTTTGAGTTTAGTAATTACTTAACTATTTAAAGGAGGCAAATTTATCCAGAGGATTCAGTTTGCACTCATGTTCAAAATTAACGGAAAGTTAATTCTGAAAATTAATTCTTAGTTAAAATTAATAAAAGAAAACGTTCGTAAAAAGGGTTTAGAATAATAAATGATTCCATTTATTTCTTAGAAATTTTCTCTTTCAACCTTTAATTTCTCCTGCCTCCGTTAACAGAAAATATTTATTTCAAGAAGGGCAAAAAATTTGAGATTTCGTAAAGCGTTCGTAAAGCAACAGGGTAAAGTACAATGTTGTTATTCTCACTGCGTTCCGCTGATGGATTTGCGTTAAGATTTGCACCAATCAGATTCGAAAGATTTGTTACGTTTGAACCTTGTGACGACTAAACTAACGTTAAAATAGTTGCAAGGAATCGCTACAAACTACGAATGGGGGACAAAATAATACAAACTTTTATCCATGAATTCTATGTAAACAATCTTTCCTTTAGCAGCAAATGTTTTGGAAGATTTTACATGGCAAAATTCTTGACACGCTTAGAAATGATATCTTATTTACCCATGCAAAATTCGAATCGACCAAAAAGAGGAGACGAAGTTAACTTTTTTTCTAGCTTTAATGTCAGAAATGGAAGGAAAAAAATGAAATAAAACAAAAATGGATAAAAATCTTTAAATTTTTACACTTGTTTCGGTCCATGTAAATTTTGCATGGGAGTAAAGGGCACAATTTATAAAAGCATCGTGCATGATCTTCAATATTTTGCTTACAGTTTAAACATGTCCACCAAATCTCCCAAAACATTTGATTCTAAATGATATATTGTTTACTTAGAATAGAATTGTTCACCTTATTATTATTTTTTTTTCTTTAAGTGATAACAAAAATAAGATAAAAAATTGTATAGAATATTCTGGGAATCGAGCTCCCTCATTAAAATAATCCCATTTTATTCATTTATTTTAAATGAAAGTGGAATATTTAAATCGTTGTCTAACCAAAAGGAGGAACATCATTTGGGAACCACTGTATTAATGATAAGACACTGGGATCCGCTTCATCTGTTAAAGCTTTGTAATCTCATATTTGTTGGCTGTTATCAGTTGCTGAGTCTTCAACTATATGTGTGGGACCACTTACAAGCGGTGCTCATCCCCCCTCCCAAGGCTGACGAGGACATCCCTCAAATTTGAAAAATCTCTTTCTCTTACTTTCGCAAACAACAACAATGCATATGAAATTTTTATTTGAACAACAATTTTTTAACTACACCTGATTACTTGCATCTGATCTATCACAATTATATTCACAGTTAAAAATATTTTGAAAAACATTATTTCCAGAAGACAAAGATTGCAATGTAAAACTCACATGTGACAGTGTTGCTCTCTTTAAAAATTGTATTAATTCAACTACCAATTCGATACTGGCCATTGAGCTGAAATTTAATGCAATTAAACGATCACTCAAATGTAAGTAGGTTCTTTTTTTAAAAAATTAATTTGTATAGAAGGACTAATTTGAAGGAAGCACAAAGGAATTTTTAAAATTTTATGTATTTTTTTTAGTTATATATCTCATATATAATGTATCAATTAGCAAAGACTCCCTTAGGATATTAATTTCATGACAAGTTAACAATGTTTACAAAAATAATGGAATATTTCATTATAATATGCCATTAGTTTTTTTTTTTTTGAAAAAATAAGTTGTTTAAAAAGCATTATTTTTAAATGTTTATCATATTACATTACAATTATTGTAATTATGTAATTATTGTCTTAGAAAATTTTTGAAGTTCATATAAGAATATAAAATAGAAGTATTAAAAATATAAAATGTTCCTTTACGCTAACTTCAAATTAATTCATGTTTATTAATTAATTTTAAAATAGTATTTAATTAATTCAAGTTCAATTTCACGCTGCATAGTTTTTTCTTTTGCTTTTTCTAATGCCTTATTTTTCGGGCTGTTTTGCCAGGTTTTTTTTTCTTTTCTTTTTCGTTTACCTGTGAGAAAATCAATCCTCAAGCACGCTTTGGAGGATTGATTTTCAGAGAATGTTTTTTACAAATTTAATTTTGCTTAATGTCTATTCCACCGAAGAATTTGTAGTAATTAATATTGTTAACAGTTGATAAAAAAATTGATAAGCAAGAAAATTGGTAGATAAAGTGAAATGATTACAAAAAATCTATCCAAAATCTTTCTGTTTTGCGTCTAACTTTCCAAAATCTTTATATTTTTTCTTCTTTATTAAGATTCTTTACGTCCTTAATATTAACATCATATTCCAATTTATTGTAAACTGTAATAATTACAATAAATAATTGTTCCAAATTATTTATTTATTCTGCCAAAATTGAAGAGTTTAACCAGAAAACGCAACAATCGTCTTTGTAAGGAGAATTGTAAACAATGCAGTCACAAAAAATAAAGCTTTATTGTGTAAAAATCTAGATATTTCTAAGAATTCCGACATCTTTTTCGGATATATTTTAGTTTATAACCGTCGTTGAACAGCCGACCCAATTTTTGGTTTACTAATACTACTAATGTTCAACTCCATACTCTTGTAATATTGAACCCACTTCAGAACACAAGAGAATTCCTCGATTGAGTATTGAACGAAATTTGCCTTCGTGGAGAACGTCTTGATGGAACTAGTCCACATTTGCGTTACATGGAGAGGAAAATCATGAAAACCCCCAAGGTTAGCCAGATAGCAAAGCGACTCCAACACATGATACGTCTAGTACTGAGGACATTTTCAGTTATGCAACCTTTCTTCGGACAGCACATAAATATTTTCAAGTGGTAGTTTATTAATATGCGAATCTTGGTTTAATAAATTCAATTTATTAGGTTTTCATCCACCACTATTTCTAAATAATTCAAAGTTTTATATAATTCGCCACATTTTTAGCAGTTAAGTCAAATATGTTATTTTATCATGTATCAAGGTATGATTTGTCTATATTCATCAATTATGTCTTTCATTTTTCAAAAATCAATTATTGTACATATCAAATCATGTTTTATCTTTATTTTTAATGTAAGTCTAGAATCAACATTTCGAATGTTATGTAAAAGTGCCAATTTGTCATATTGAAAATTTCATTGTTTTATTATTTCACAAGCAAACTGCTTGATTTTTTTTATGGCTACCACAATGTAAATATGTTCCTTTCAAATTATGTTTATATTTATATGTGTCAATTTAGATTTGATATTCAAATGTTATATCTACCATATTTATCTATGTCAGCCTATGTATATATATTTCAAATTATGTTTTTATTTATATGTGTAAATTTAGTTTCGATATTCAAATGTTTATTTACCCATGCAAAGTGCTTGTAATTTTGTATTAGCTACCACATCGACTGCTAAATTCAAAATGTTATTACTTTAAACTTATGTAAATTTCTAGATGTATGGGATAGGGGCCGCTGCGCGGCCCAGGTGCCCAATTTTTTATAAATAAAGTAAGTAAAGCAGTTAAGTCATGCGACATCGTTTAAATAGTAAACAAAATTAGTCAAATATTTGCAATTTTTAGTTTACCGTTTTTCAAACTATTATGGCGCGTCCGAAGTAGTTGGCATCTCTGCATTTTACGTCAGCACTGTAGTCGGTGCGCAGTTCGCAACGATCAGGTATTACTGAGATTCGAACCCGGTTCACCTCATTGGAAAGCGAACGGTCTATCCCCTGAGCCTCCACAGCTCTTTTCGGATACATTTTATTTTACAACCGTCGGCATTTTAAGGGAACTTGAAGGACTTTGTGACCCTGGCAGATTTAACATGGACTAATCGCCATTTGATACACGGGAATTCTTGGGCCGGCTGGATTTGAACACCCGTTCTCACGAACATGAGTCCAACGCCCTACCAACCAGGCTATTCTGGCCCTTTTCAGATACTTAATAGAATTTATCGAAACAATAGGCCCATCAAAAAAGATTTTAAAAAAGAAAAATAATAAAAGTAATGTTTTGGTTTGCCCAGTCTACTGGTTATAAATGGCCAATAGGCTTCTCTTATGTAAATTTTGAGTTGAAGATTTAATGAAATTATGAACTTGGTTATAAGGAATAAACTCAACTAAAATAAAGGTATCCCCCACCAAATAATATTTTGAAATCTAACCAACAACAAAATTGTATAAACATTTAAAAAAAAAAAAAAAAAAAAAAANTAGGGAGTCCCTGTCTCTACCAAAAAAAAAAAAAAAAAAAGCTGGAGTGACTTTAATCTTATCATAATATTGTTGTTAGCATTTTCCAAAGTGCAAAAAAAAAATAATAATAAATTGTGGATAAATATAATTAGAATTAAATCAAAACTTAATTTAAAGAGCCGGTAAAAAAAATTTAATTTCAATAACACAGATTTCCTAAACCCTTTTTAAATTTTTATCTAGCACACATAAATATTAAATTTTGCATGTTCCAATTCCTACAACTTTACACAGTGCCCTGATTTTTATGAAAATTTATTCATTGAGTGTCCGTACTAAAGAAATGAAATAATTTATTTTTTCAACGCGTTCATTTTCGAAACTCCTTTTTCTCGCTCCACTATCGTCACGCTTATTGTATTCACTCAAGAAAGAGCTGTAGTACAATTCATTTACATCCGTTTGTGACATTTCGAAATACAGTGGATATAAACAGCTGTTCCCTCTCAACGCATTCAAATAACATGAAAAAAATATAAAACATAATTTTAAAAAGATAAACATAACGATCTCACAAATCACAAAACCGAAACAAAAATGAACAAATAATAAACCGACATGTCATGTGATCGTACGAGTATTAGATTAATCGGACCAATGAGGGTACGCCAAATAGAATTTCTGATGAAACTGTCTAGAAAAAACTATCAAACGATTTCAGCGCCGCACAGTTTATTTTGCTCACGGTTCTTGTTTACTGTACCCGGATCGCGAGCTGTGTGAGATAAAGTGAAAGTACGACAAATATTCTAAAAATAACAAATTGAAATTGGTGTTTTATTTTTCAGTGCGATCTATCAAAATTTATTATAGTTGTTGAATTTATTATAGTTGTTTTATAGATTCACCTTTAATCAGCTCAAGAGGTAAGTATGAAATGTTATCATTTTGTTGGACCATGTCATAAGTGTGGTTACAGAGTTCAGGGTCAAAATACGAAAAATGGGTGTATATGTATTATACGCATTTTACATATTTATGTTATACTTATAAAATTTAAAATTACTAGCTCTTTAAAGTGTTAAAATCGAAAAGTTTAATTGCATCATTTCTATTTAACTTGGTGAATTTAAAATTTTTTAATGCAAACCATTCAAAAAGTGGATATTTTTTTTCCCTTTTAAGTGTCACAGATTTTGTACTCATAAATTAATTCCTTTAATAGTTGTATTTTATTCATGTCATTAAAAGTATTTTAATATAAATCTATTGCATATTTCCATTGCTATAATAGATAGTTTCGGTTTTGATGTGTCTTTTTAATTTTTTTTTCCTTTCATTTTCTTACTCTCAAATGGATGTTTCACGATCAAAAATATCTATTAGTGACGAATTTCTTTGTGCAGAACATTCATGATTTTCATTATAATTTGTTTATCATAACTTAATGGTATTTATTACAGGTAGTACTTATATAAATAAAGTTAAAATGTTAAATTGTATAATCGCTTAAAGCTGTTTATTTGTTGATAGGTTTAAAATTTACCTAAATAAATATGTCTGTGTAGTTAATATATGTAAGTTAATACAAGTAAGTTCATGATTGTAGGTAAAAATATTCAATTGTATTTAAAAATGTTATTTATATATTAACAGGTTAAAAATTCACCCAAAAAAATGTCTGTGCAGTTGATAATAAAGTCAGCAGCTCAGAATGTTGATGATTTTAAATTGCAATGTGAAATGACATGGACTATTGCACAAGTTAAAGATCAGATATCTACTACACATCCTACAAAACCAGTAAGTACTATATTATCAATATATTAGGATTTTGTATGTTTTTAGAACATTATTTTGAAAGATAAACAGGAATTCAAGTAAAGACTTATTGTGTTGAAATTTTAAGTCTTATTTCCTTTGGTGTGAAAAGACAAAAGCGTATACTTTGTTTTAAAATTATACTTATTATTCAAAAGGAGTTTTGTGTAATCAGGGGTCTGTCTAGGCCGAATTTAATACCGTTTAGCGGTACCTTCACAAATTCAACTTAAGAAAAAACAGTGGTTTCACAAAATACTTTTTCTTATAATTTTATTTTTGTATTCCTTAAGAAGCGATAAATCCATATTTTTGGGTTGAATTTTTAATATAGTTTTTAAATTTTCACAAATTATGTCTAAATTTTCACAAAATAGGTACCTCACAGAAAAACCTAGACAGACCCCTGGTAATGTAATGATTGCTAATTTCTGTAATTTATTGATTTAAAATGGAAGTTTTCAATTTAGAATAATAAAAACTAAATGGAATATAAATTAAGAGTTAGTTTCAATGTTAAGTTTAAAGAGAAATTAAATTGTATTTTTGTGCTTTATTCTCATTTATGCTTTTTTAAGATTGTATTTATTGTAAAGTGGCATGTATATTCCTGGTTTAGTAATAAAATATTAGGTTTATAATTTATTAAAGAGCGGTGACCATCTTTTTTTAAAGCTTAAAACTTTTTGCATATTGTTAAGGTTAGGTACAGTTTTATAAATAGTAGATATTTGTATTTACAACATTCTTTTACTTATACTTTTACATTTATTGTAACTCATGGACCCAAATGTTTTAAATAATTAAAATTTTCCATCAAATTAAAATTTATGTTTATACTTTATTGTCAAGGCAAAACAATTGTTTTTCGAGTTTTTTTTAAAAAAAAAATGAGTGGTATTTTTCAGTTTTAAATATCGGAACTCTAAAAACTGGTGGACAGAACTATTTCATAAGTTTATTGACAATAACAAAAGTACACAAATAGAATAGCAATTATTCCTATGGTTACGGACAGAGATTCTTTTAAATTGACTAATCATGCATTATGATTTTAATTAAAGTATAGTCACAGGAATTTTGTCCTTACTTCTCAATATTAGTCTATAGATAATAAAATTATTAAACAAGAAAATTTTTTGAATATGTAATATTCACAAATTATAGGAAGCTCATTATTTATCTCATATATAGTATTTTCAGTGATACAAAAAAATTTCATTTTTGGATTGTCATTAGTTTTTATGATAAAAAAAGAATATTCCAAGATTAAAAAAAAGTTCAAAGACACCATACCTTTATAATTATTCAAGAGACATTTTGTCTTCTTTCTTAAAATTATATTACTTTGTCACTTAAATTTTATAATATGAATATTTTAGCTATTAAAAGTATTTTTATTCTCTGTCTTAAATATAAGTTTTTACATTAAACATTTTAAGTTTTATCTGATCAAGTAACATTTACATTGCAATTGTTTATAAAATTTTAATGTTAGTATTCATGTATTCATTTCCTTCATAATTTTTTTTCTTTCAGAAAATGTTATTTATTACATTTCTTTATTTTGACAAAAATAAAAATTATTTTTAAGGCTTCAAGTCATCAAAAGTTAATTTATGGAGGAAAACTATTGCCTGATCATCTTCCTTTAAAATCTATATTAAATCCGGTTAGTATTTTTATTTATTATTCTATAAAGGAGAATTCGCTCTTTATTTTGAACTACATTTACCTTTTTATTTTTAGACTCAAGATATACATATTCTTCACCTTGTTTGTCCTTGCCCAGTGAAATTAGAACCGCAAAAGTCAAGTACAAGCAATGAGGTATGCATAACTCATTTTTATTTATTTGTCATTATTTTAATACATGTTGGTTACTTTCAAAATTAACATTTAGTTGTTGAAAATGATTGAATTATGTTTATGTACCTTACATGTTCATCTTTTTCCCCCCATTCACATATCAAAGAATGTGCGAATGTGCACATTTTACAAAATATTGATTATGCATGTGCAGAAAAAAAAATCGAAACAAGAATCAAATTTGTTTATATCTTTAGTTTTTCCTTTTTAATTGACTTAGACATTTTTAGTGAAAATAGTTAGAAAATATTTTAGTTATTGAAGCTAATGCATTATATATATAATTGGATTACATTATATATGATTGGATACAAGTTAGGCATTTTTAATATTGATTATCTAATAATTTATATTTACTATACTCAAAATTCACTGGGCTGCAAAAAAATCAGCTTTCGATGAAAAAGGTCTTGTAAAATATGTAGCCAAAAATTTTTTGCTGCCGGAACATTTTGATTTTTAAGATAATGATTTGTCTTTCACATTATACTCAAGATACTTGAGTAGTGCTAAAAATATCAAATTGCATTGGAATATCACATACTTTTTAATGGTTGGTTAAGCCTAATTTTAAAGTACAGCTAAGTACTTATATTACTATAAAAAAGAAAGAAGCATATACTTTAAAAATACTTCATTTTTAGATTGTCTTTTTTTTCTTTTTTTTTTTAAATCTTATCAAATATTTTAAATCTTCTAAAAGTATATACCATTTAAATTTAGTGTTAGAATATTATTACTATTCTCTAGATTAATAAAAATGTACTATTTTATTTGACATATTTATTTTTTCCATGTTGAACCAATTGAATTTTGTTTACGTGCGCAAATTTATTTTTTACACATATTTGTGTTATTTTCGTTGATAAATGCAACTTTTTTATACATCAAAATTTTTAAACTCATAATATTTTTATTGTCAGTGATCATAATTAATGAAAAAAAAATGTAAACATTTGCGGTTTTCACAGATTTCAAATTCCTATTTGATTTTCCGATGCCCGGGAATAATGATCAGTTTATTCAAGAAGTTTTTGAGGAGGAAAAATGATGCACTTTATGTAACGGAAAATTCTGAGAAAGTTTTTTATTTTTTTATTCATCTTCCAAATTACTTCAGTATCTGAAATATCACTATAACTATAATTGCATTTTTTACTGCCCTCAATTTCAGACATATTTTATAACACATTTTATAACACAGGATAATGCTAATAATGCTGTTGTTATTTTTACTATTTTGCTTTTATAATACTTCTATTCTGATGTCATTTTTACATGAATTTTTTATTTTTTACAGAAAACTGCCTCACCTCCTTTAACAGTTCCTCCTTTAAATCAAAGTGATTTATATCCCCAAGTTAATCAGCAGTTACCAACTCCACCAGTTTTCACTGGGTCAGTTGCTTATTTAATTATAAAGCTATGTTTATTTTCAACAATGTAGATTTGACTATTCTAACATTGAAGAATTTTTTTTTTTTGTATTCAATAAATTTTTTTAATTTAAGGATTTATTTATTTTATTTTGGTTTAGCATATAATTTCAAACTGTATAGTTAATTTTAATGATTCATTATTCGGTTTAAAAGGAATAGTTATTTTCTACATTCGTTGTATTCAATAAATTTTTTTTATTTAAAGATTTATTTATTTTATTTTGGTTTAGCATATAATTACAAACTGTATAGTTAATTTTAATGATTCATTATTCGGTTTAAAAAGAATAGTTATTTTCTACATGGGGCATAGTGTTTTTAAAACGTGCTTATTTCCGATTATCCTTTTTTAAAAGCTCTTAAAAGTGCTTTTCCCCCTATATCATGTTGTTTTTCGCTGCATATTATGCAAAAATGTGGTTTTCACAATGTTCTACTCACAGTTTTCACAATTCATTCAACCACTATCCATTTCGGCGTACTGTCATTCCATAAGGTATGATAGCGCCAATCATGTTACATATTTGATTAAATATTTGGGAGTCCGCGTGTGCTTCTACTGAGCTGGGTTTGGTGAGATTCTTGCACTGCTGCATTTTGCAATATGTTCTCAATTTTAGGCTTCCATTTTCCACCTTCTGAAATCGAACCGAAAAATCTATCCATCTTTTTATGGTGGTTAATATAATCAGGAAAAAGAGTTCTTTGTCTGAAGCTAGTTGTTTCATCATGATCATGTAAAGTTTTTGAAAATTATTTTACATTTTGTTGATGTATATAGTGTAGGGGTACACAACCTTTTTGAGTGAAGAGGGACACTTATACAGCAGGTAGATTAACAAAGGGCTGCACGCATATTTAGTCATGTTAGTTGCAAATATGATAATTTTTATGTAAACAATTGTGTTCTAAGCACTAACTATTTTTATCAGTAAACTTAATAACATATTGGCGGAAACTAAAACCAAACGAACTAAAAAAACCTGATACTCATTTTTAAAAAACTTTTTTCCATTTTTAACACTAATTTATCAAATAATTATATATATATACATAAATGTTGAGGGAGGGGGTATAAATTCTAACCCAAAAAAGCTAACAGAATGAAAGTGCAAAAAATATACACATTTTATTGAGTAATATAAATTTGAATTAAATATATTAATTAAAGAAAATTTATATTTTTTAAACTAAAACCAAATTAAGAGATATGTTTTTATTGCGTTCAGAACTTCCTGTGGGCCGCACATCGACAGTCGGCGGGCCACAGGTTGTGCATTCCTAATATAGTAATTAAAAATATTTTTTGAGTGGTTAAAAAATATTTTAAAAGTGCTTATTTTTTATTGAGAGATTTGGCTAGGCATCCTGTTCAAGTTTGCAGTGTACAAAAACTGGTCATGCGTGAAAAGATGCTTACGAAATTTCTGGTACATACTACAAATGCTTAATGCCTGGTCGCTTCGCACATATTCCAATGATTGATCAGTTTGTTTTTCCCAACAGATAACTGGATAGGGCACTCTAATCTGGATGATTTTTCTCCTTCCCACCATGACCCCAAATTCATCACTTAGGTTCTATTTAATGAATGTCGAAGTTTCTTCACCAATGCATCACTGTTACTGTGATGGACATAAATAGAAACATGATATTTATAATTAAATGCCTGGGCAAAACTTTGAACTGGATTACTGTTAAGATGGGTGGTGCAAAAATTGAACATTTGTAGTATGTACCTGAAACTTGATAAGTGTTTTGCTTTTCTATGTATGATCCATCTTGTTATATACTTTTGTATATAATCAGCCATTTGAGACTGGATGAATCACTTAAACCTGTACAACCTACAGATTACCCTGTATTTGTATTCACAAATTCAAAACCATATTGTGTATACAGTTAATATTGTTCACAAATGTTTATCATTCTGTTACTTTTATCATTGTCTAAACGTTTTCCTAATCTTGGTCTAAATCTGTCCTGGTTTAAATTATCTTCAATTAAATTTCCTTGACGAGTTTTTTGTTGTCAAGAATATAAATGGCAGCATGTATAATGTGCAGGATTTTTCTTGTGATCATTGCATTGCTATAATGTACAATGTAAAACATGAAACACTTAAGATATTTTATGAATTTCTAAAATTTAAAAGCATTTAAAGAAAAATGTATGTAGTTTTGTTTTTATATGAAATTTCCTGTAAATCTTACTTTTTAATATTTGTAGTAGTTTTTTAGAATATAAAGAAACTTGAGTTTTTCTATTTTTTAACTAATAACTACAAAAACAGGTTTATTAAACTTATAATTTTGATTGAATATTTCAAAATGCATTTAGAATATGGTATTTGAGTTTATCTTTATTTTAATAATTTGACATCAATATTTATAAAGTGCTACCGTTTCTAATTTGATTGGTGACTGAAAGTCTTAATTCAAACATACACCAGAATATCGACTTTACATCAGCAATAAGGTGGTTTGTTCTCAGTTTTTCAGAATATTATGAGCATAAATATTTAATAGGATTCATTAAAGTAAATAAATGTTAATTTGCAAAGTTTAATTGTCAATTAGAAATCTTTATAATTGTTAGCATAAATTTAATTAAAAATTAATATTAATTGAATTAGAAATGTACAAATTACAAATTGAAATCTATTCCCTTCATTGATTTCTCAATGCCAATGGAAAAAAAAGACTTTTTTCTGAATTCTCAACTAAGCGCTTTTTATTTCTGTTGGAATTAAATACATTTTTCTTCAGATACACTTCCCTTTTCCACATTCTAATATGAATCCCAAGTCTCTTTTCCTCAAAAGAGTGGTGAAAAATAATTAGTAATTAGAGTAAATTGAAAAAATACCTTGTATTGTAATTAGACACTTGAAAATTGACAATTTCTCAAGAAAAGAAAATTAAATATTGCTTAGTGTAATTTTTTTCTCTCCATTTCTAGGGCTATCTTTTTTTTAATGAATTTCAAAAATACGCATTCTGTTAAAATTTGCTGATTATAAGCTACTTATTCCTCTCACCAGTGATTATACAAACCATCGGGCACTGTACAAGTGTCTTTTTTTTATATATATGTTTACTAATTTTCAAGTTGTGGTATGTATTTCATATAGTGTAAAGCACATCAGTTATTATTTTTATCTAATTGTTGGAACATTTCTTTTTGTAGTTTAAAACACAATTTTCTAATAATTACATATATTTATAGTGTGCAAGGAGGAACTACCAACTTCTTAGCTCTCAATACACCTGGAGATGTTGTACATCAATATTTTGCAATGCAGCAAATGTACACTCAATTCATGGCTCAGTATTTATCACAGTAAGTTAAATTTTATTTTTACCACCATCTATTTACTTTATGCATACATTAATTAAGCAGGATTTCTGAATTTCCGTTTGGCTATTAGTCATAATGTGTTTAACTCACTTAAAAATTTGGGGCAATATTGTGTAAAGTTTTGCTGTTTTGAAAGTGACTTTTTTTTACATCAAAATGTTCCATAATATTGTTACCAGATGGGAACTTAGTTTACAGATTTTACTGGAAACTGAGACATTAAAACTATGTAAATATTTTCAAGATAATTGTAGTATATGTTTTCTTATGTATAACACTTTACGGAAAAATGTGAAAATATGGCTTATTATATTGCCCCAAATCCTTGATTTTTTATTTTCATGTACCTTTTCATTAGCCGAGCTCATATAAATTCTACTATTTTATTTTGTTTACTTGTATATTTATTTTCATACTAGGGTTGGCTTTTTTTTAAATTAATATTTAGTATTTTTTTTTTATTATAGATATAATGGAGTTACTCCTAATGGTCAAATACCTATGACCCCACCACCAGTACAAGAGCCTGCACCAGCAGTTCCTCCTCAGAATGTGAATCGAAATGCTGAGCCAAGAGCTGCTGGAGAAAATGGATGGGACTGGATTGATCTGATTTACGTTATGAGTCGAGCAACCATGTTTTTCGCCATACTTATTTACTACTCCTCACCACCTCGTATAATTGCTGTTTTTGTCTTGATGGTGTTGTTAGTCTTGTAAGTATTCTGTTTTTTAATTCGCTTTTCAACTGTGTATCTATCAACAGATATTATCTACAAACAATTAATTCATTTTCGAAGGATATGTTCTATATTTCATCCTGCCAAAGGCATTCTAGAGTTAAGAACATTTTTTCAAACAAACCTGTAAAAAATAAATTTCTTGGTTATATCATTTTTTATAATAATTTGGTTTCTTATTTAAACAGCTATAGGAAATACAAAAAGAAATTTCTTAAAATTTATTTTCATGGAATTTGTTAATTATTTTTTGAGAGCTTGTCGAGTTATAATAGGCCCAAACTAAATTATTATTTTAAAAATTGTTGTGCTATTTTTTGTGTTTTTGTTATTAAATAGTGTCTCCTCTTTTTACATGCTTTCCAATCATCAAAAGTATAAAAATAAGCAGTTTATTTGAACGTCATTAATGTGTGACAAAATATCTAACATTGCATTTATGAAATATCGAGTGAAACATTAATAGTAGGAAAGATTCTTGTGTCTGGGAACTTCTTGTAGAACATTAAATTTACTAGCAATTTTCAATTTTCAGGTAGAGGGGGCAAAATTAAAACAATTATTCTAAATTTCAAACTCCTTCTTAGATGAATTATAAATGAAAAATCTATTATGTGTGAAGTAGTTAGAGAGACTTTTAGAGATTTCCAATTAATGATGAGGCTTAGACCCGCCATATGCCAGGCAACAATAACCATACTAAAGAACTTAGATTGGATAATATTGAAAAATATCTTACTGGATTGCCTAATAGCAAATTCGAAAATATGACATTTTCCTATATATTGAGCAAAAAATCTTTTATACTAATACATTTTGACAGTGATTGTAGGTTCATGTTATATCAAAAACATTCAGTGCTTAATGTCTGTTCATTTTTATCACCCATCTTTGTACTTTTCGAAAATTATTCCACTTTTTTTTTTTAACACTATCACTATTTAAGCAGACTTGTTTGAAAAAAAGTTTAGTTTTTTTAGTTACAGTAAAAAAATTATATTTTTTTCTTAAAAGTAAAATTCTTAAATGTTTTATATCAATGATTTTTAGCAAGTACATTGTTAATTTGGTTGTTTTGCTTTGCCTGAAGTATAAAAAATAGGATTATTGTTATTTCATTGTACTAGTACGGTGCAGATTTTAATTAAACAAATTCTGAAATACTGACAAATTTATTAAAAAATTGGTAAAATAATATTTAATTGGAAGAAAAGTTTAAAATTTTATGCAATGAGATTGAAAAGGTGAGTCCCTAAGTAAGTGCCTCCTCTGCCATTGAAATTATCAGTCACTGTGTATTCAAGGAAAAAGAGAATAGATGTTTGTTATTTATTTGTTATTTTTAGGTTTTCAAAATAACACTTCAGGTTTTACAGTCCCTTCTTCATAACCAAATTCTGATCTTGTTATTTATTATGATTTTAATTTTTTTTTTCTGTTACTTCTTGGGTATTTGTCAAATTTTAATATCAGTAATTTTATTTATTATTTGAGTTATTGGTACTATAGTTTAAACTCTGGATTTGACAGTTTTTGTGATTAATAGTTTAAAATTACTCTTCTTATCTTTGCTCTTTACGGTAACATCTCCACACACTTTTCTGTTTTTGAGCATTGTGATATTTTGAAAAATAATTATTTAATTTGTACACCAATAAATCCTGAAAAAATTTCTTACATAAAATTTGTATTGTTAAATTAGAGTTATAAGCCAGAGCATTAAACGCTGAATTTTCTATTCATTTATTAGGTTTGCCAAAGTAAATCGAGAAAGGCAACGTGACGAGGCTCAACAAGCTAATGAACGACAAAGACCCGAACTTAATACTACTCCAGAAGAGAATTCTGAAGCTAATGAAAATGCTGAAGTAAGTACTGTATGACAAAACTCTGTGAAACTAATTTTTTTCAATAACATACCTTATTTTCTAATTTATTGGGGGGAAAAATAAAGTTTTAATTTAAAAACCAGTGTTTAGCAAATCAATTAAATTCTACATGTTTTTTCCCAGTTTCCTAATGGACATTCAGCATGAAGTCTTAAGTAGGATAATTTTCTTTTTTTTTTTTTTGCCTATTTAACTAAAAATTAGTTATTTTTACTGCTGCCAATTTCGTAAGTTTTCTTTTTGTGTAATTTTATTTTAATGTAATTTTTTATTTTAATCCTGTGTGTTATTTTCTTTTACTTTTTTTTTAATGTCTGTAATTATGAAAAAATTGTTGGAAGGAAATAAGAAGTTATTTTTAAATATTTCTTCAGAATTATCAAATACAGTTATGCTACATCTTCTGTATAAATAGTCTTTTCTCCTCCAAAAGCTAGTTTCAGAAATGTTAAGGTCAATTTTTTTTAGAAGTTCAGAATTATGCGATATAATTTTCTCGGTCTTTCAATCTTATTTCATGTACTCAAACTTAATTTCATTCAAATATATATCTATAACTCGTGAACTTGTATTCTCAGTCTTTTGTTTTCAAAAATTATATTTCTAAGTATGTTTATTGATGTTCAATAGTGTATGATTCATACTTTTGAAGCTTAATCAAATACCATTTGCTTGTAATGTGTATTCATTAATGCTAGGGGTGATTATATTTTGGGTGTATCCCGGAATTCTGGGTTTTTCGTATTTTCCTTCCAGGTCTAAAGTTAGAAGCAGGGCATATGTTGTTTTTTAGAATATCACAGAATTCTGCATTTCTCAAGACCATTGCTTCTCGAACTTTTGCTAATCAAAAACTTAAAATCCAAAGAAATTTCCACGGCATTTCTCACTCTAAAATTTAAATTTTGAAACTTTTTCTAATTCTCTCTCACCAGATGCTTACATGCACATGATTCTTCTGCCAATAGGCTGAAATCTGCCAATTGATTCTTTTGGTTTGACGGAATTTTAGCCATTTTGAATATTTGAAACTGTGCCGTAATATGCTAATATCGCGATTCCTATTCAGGCAGCTTGATTATCAAACAATGATTTAATGATTTTCATATTTACCCAATTTAAGTTATACATTGCGATTTGTATTCACATGGTTTTAAAATAGTATGTCGCTATTCGTATTAACGCGATTTTTAATAATCCAACACTGCGATTTTTGAAAGAATTAAAAATTTTCTTAAATTAGTTACTATAAAGGTGTGATATTCATCTTTGGTAGGTAATTTAATTATAAATCTTATTTTAAAAGAATTATGTTAAATACGAAACATGTGTGGAATATAAATTGATATTGATTTTTACTCATTATTTTAGGCTTCTGAGGATGCACCTGCAGAAAACCAACCTGCAACTCCATCTGCACGAACCCCCATGCAAACTGCATTATCAGTTCCTTACACAATATTCTTTGTCATCTACTCATTTTTCACTTCACTGATTCCGGCGGATCCTGTGCCTGTGAACGTGAATTAATTTTAAATGACTTGTATAGTTGCTGTGTACATAATTGTAACATTGTTATCAGTTTCATTCACATCTATGAAAATGTTGTTTTTAAGTGCAAAGTAGCACAGTTTTAAGTTTTGGATTGTATAGAGAGATCTACTCTTTAAATTGTGCTGTCATCTAGTCCATTGCTCGCTGTTGCTTTTTCATTGTCATATTTAGATGCAAGCTGTGTATATCTAGGCTCTAGTGAGATATCTTATTTTATTTATTCAATTCTGATCTCTGAATGTTATATATATATATTTTTTGTTATTTTATTCCTCCCCCCTGTTATATTACGTTGTATAAAAGTGCAAATTTATATACAATTTAAAATGACACGTGGCATAGAATGTCGAAAACTTATTTCTTTTGAGTTAATCGTTTGGGTGAACCTATACTTGATATTAAAAATCTGTAGTCCCATTGATTGTATATTACTCTGCACTTTGTAAATAAAATTTTAAAAATAAATTGTAATATTACTTGTTTTTAAATTAGTTGCAGCATTTTTATCTCAACACCAGTAAATAATTGTAATATACTTCTAATGCGACACACAAATTCCAATATTTAACTTTTTGTCGATTTCATTGTAAACACCAGTGACTATTTTAATTCCTTTTGTAGCTCTATTACCACAAAACTACTTTTTTTTATTAAAAAACATTTTTTGCCGCTAGTAAAATGAACCAAAATAAAAAGCTGTAACATGCTAAGCACAATATGCAAAAGGATAAAGGAGATATTTTGAATATTTTTTAAAAAAAATGAAAATTCTAAATTTTTTACTGCTGCCTATTTTGCTTCTATTTATAAATAGCATTAAAACTTTTTATTTTTATTTAATAAAGTATTTAAATTTTTTTTGTTGCTCTTATTCCATTTAAGTTTTTTTTTACTTATTAGAATTTCTATTTATCAAAATCAGATGAAACGAGGATCAGTCAACGCTTTCACATAAGTCTAATAAATTACAGGATGTCGTCCAGGTTTACTAAATGAAAATTCAAATTTCTTAAATTGTCGTCAGCATAATGGTATTGTATATATATTAAATATGATATACAAAGTATTGGTGTAAATATTTTTATAAACATGTGATAGTTATTTTTTAATTATGCAGTTTTTGTTTTGATTATTATTCCACATCAAAGGTTTAATATTTCAAACGATGTTCATTTATTATAAAGTAATCCTATTGATATTATTAGATTTAGAATGGACATATTTAAAACTTTGTTAGTTTATCAGTCGTTTATTAATTATACTTCAAATATGTTCATACAGAATTTGGTTAAAATTATTTTAAAATGTGGTTTTATTAATAAAAAATCAATATACCAATAACAGGAAAATGTAAGATTTCATAAACAATAAAAACTCCGAGGTACAGTGCCTAATCCATGGGGCACTCTATTTTATTTATTTTCTTTCATTATAAGATTAATGTAAAACTGTGTCCAGCCAACTTATATAACTACACTAATGAGTGGATAGCTATTATTGGAAATAAACGGTTTAGACAGCTGTTGAAATATGTCTTGGGTGAAAAACAAAAAGTTTTTTTAGTAATGAAAATAATCCGTAAAAGTTAATAGCTAAAGTTTACAATGTTTAATGGCATAATGTTTGTCATGTTATGGCATAAACTGTCAATGTAATTTTTTACATCTAATAGTCTTTTTTTTTTTTAAACGGATCAGTAATCAAAACAGCATCCACTATACTGTTTTAAACTAATCAAAATCGAATCATTCTGTTAGTTTCCGAATTCTTATTTTCAAAGTATAGAATAATTTTGTCTAAGTTAGTTTAGTATTTTAATGTTAAGAGTGGACACTTATGGTATTTTTATGTGTTAACAACCGTTATCTCTGAAATTAGCTTTAAGTAAGTAATTAATGGGAAGCTGGAGGCTAAGTTCCTTGAAAAATAATAATTCTATTAAGGGAAATATTTTTTCCTTGTTTTAGAACGTTAAGTACTGTCAGCATTCTTGAGCCTATTTAGTAATTAAGAGGCAATGCACCAGTCTTAATGTAAAGTTTCTTGAAAAAGTTCTAATAATGAAAAATATTTTTCCTGTTTTAGTTTCCTATTAAAAATTCTTTAGTTTCAGCATTGTTAGATAATTTGAATAGATTGGTGGTATTGTTTTAACCAAACGAAGTTATTTACATTAACGTGATACAGGGATGCCAACTCGCCACAGATTACAGATAAATATTTTCTAGTAGTAGCTACATTTCTGGTCCAGGATTGCCTGGTTAGTGAATGGTGCACGTTAAATCTGTTGGATCACAAAGTCCTTCATGTTCTATAACGAATCATGCATCTTGGGGTACTGAATTGGATATTGATCGTTCTCTGGTTCAGTTCAAAATTACCATCTGTGGATGAATGAATTGGTACGCTCTGTAAACGGGCCGTGACGTGTGTGTGACTGAAGTAATCTTGGCTATAGATCACGCCACTGAAAAAAAAAAGAAACGCACTCTCTGCCTTAAATTCGATTGGTTTCACCTAGCAGGCTTGCTGGTATAGGCAAGTGACATTAGAAATAACTTTTCTGCTATAATGTAAATTCTTGATTTAGTAAATTCAATTTAAAGAGTTTTTACCAAACATTACTTCTAAATAATTCAGATGCCACTTTTTACGTTATTTCGAGTTGAGCATTTTAAAATTGGCAAATTTAACCTAAAATCCGTAAGTTTTTTAAATATACTGGTGTGCAAAACTTAAGCAACAAGTGGTTTTTCGGCCACAGCTCCCCTTCAAAGTATAAGATAGCCATGAAATTGCAGTATAATATGCACGTAATTCAGTAGTAAGATTATTTGTATGCAAATTTTAGAAATAAAATGTCGTAGGTGATGTAAGTGTACGTAAGCCTTGTGGGTTCGGCGCACATGTCACAGCTATGATAAAAGGATAAAGAGCACCGTAATTAAAGACATTCGCAGCAAGTGATTTGTTTTGTGAAACATGTCTTCAAGAAATCATTTAGACGACTTTACTCGAGGAAGAATGATTGGGAAGCTTGAGGAGGGGCGTAGTGTGACCAGTGTCGCCGAAGAGTTCGGGATCAACAAAAGTGTTGTTTCTCGTGCTTGGAATGCCTTTAAAACTACTGGTACAGCTGTT